AGGAGTTGTGGTCTGATTCCGATGTAACTTTTATGATTAGTTAAGAAGGTTACTTCCTGTTTAGTTTTGTCTATTTTTTCCTCTAAAAGCAGATGGATACTGAAAATAGTTAAAAGTTCGTTTGAGAGCTAATTATTAGAAGCAGGAAGGACCAAACATTTTCTTAACCGGCAGCAAACATTAGTTAACAGCAGAATACATTGTTAAATATCGAATGTAACTGTAGATATTAGTTAAATGCTGAGTTTTATTTTGTGAATGTGAAACTGCTGTGTTGAACATTAGTTCCTGCTATCGAAATAATAAAACTGTGAATTTTGAAACTTTTATTTCTATATATACCAATGCCCAAACGCTTGAGTTTGAGACATTAAGTTAAGAAAATGTACATTCTTACCTGTGAATGAGTGTAAAGCTGAAATTTGGATTTTTAGTGACATTACTGTTGATACTTACTGTGACTGTTACCATGTCCTCGCCTGAAATTCCTGTGCTGTACACCACAGATACTCCATGTTGGACGCTAAATTGAAGCACAATATGAAACATGGATTGACACGCCCCACAAATCACAAATATGTCATTGAACGCAAGGATTTACAAAATATAGCGTCATACCTGTCCAATTTTGAAACAAATACTGCCATTTTAAGACACAAAGTTTGGTACGATCTTGCTATTCATTTTGTCACTTGTGGTTTGGAATTCCACAATTAATTAACCATAAAGTCATTTGATTTCACAATTGATGAAAATAATGTTGAATATGTAACAATTAATCATGAAACACAACAAAAAAACCGACAGGGGGTATTGCGTGTGTCGATGAGCCACATGATAAAAGAATGTATTCATCCAATACTAACTCATGTCCAGTCAAGTCACTCAAATTATTAATAACAAAAACCGATCCACAGAATCACTATTTAATCACATAAATAAAATTGAAGAATCTAAAGATAATCAGTACACATATTCAAATGTTTGTTGCAAAGTGTATCAATTCACGAAATTCATGCCGGATTTGTGCAGACATGCAAAATGTCGTCAAAAATACACTGCTCACTGTCTTCGTGCCACTAGTATTCAGGCTATGAATGACGCTGGATTCGAATTAAGAATCATAAAAATGAAAGTTCTGTAAGAATGTACAACAGAGATTGCTTCAGTAAACAAAAACAACGAATTAGCATTACACTGTCAGCTGTTGCACTCGCTGACTCCCATCATGCTGACACTTGTCTCTGTACCTCCTTCGAACGTCAACAGAGCCGAAATCGCCACTTCGCTTAATGATAACAATATTTTTCAAAAGCTGAGAAAGAACTGAAGGCAGCTGTTTTGAAATTTAGTGAATCGCAGTTGCATAACTATTGCTTGTTGAAGAATATTAAATGGTATTTCAACACACCAGCAGCTAGCCACATGGGTGACGTTTGGGAATAACAATATTTTTCAAATTCGCTCGAATGTGCACACCCCAAATTCCAACAATATCATGAATTATGGACTTATTTCGAACTCGTCTTTCAATAATTGCACTTTCAATGTGGCCGCTCCTTCAACTTTCAATCAGTAGACAGTAGACTATAAATAGGTGACCTACTTATTGCTGATTGGCTGTTCTCTAGGACATCTCTATTAGTATCACTTCATTAACGTTCTGTTAAAATGTTATGTATTTATGCGCCAATTTAGTGCCTTAAGTTTTTGTTGTATTAAATCCGCTACGCGGATTTACACAGTGTACACAGGTTTTTTCTGTTTATACATCGATAAACTGAAAAAATGTTCAGGTCATTCCTTAAATAATATTGAAATAAAGATCAAGTTCATGTGATATAAACCAAAAATATAAAAATTAAAGAAAATTACCGGTTGCAGAGTCCCATTTACAGGCCACTTTTACATTTTAACCTTTTTTCAGTAAATAAAGGGTTGTTACTCTTTCAATACTTTTTGAATATTATCCAAATCTGAACTTGTCTGAGATCTTATGGATACGAAACGTACACACCATATTTTTAAAATGTCTGATATATACTATTGTCTCTATTGCTTTCTCAAGTCACTTTTGAATTTTATTTTGGTTAAAAAACTCCATCACTGGTCTGAAATCTAGTAGATAAAATGTAAAAAAAAACATTTTTGTAAATATATAACCTAATTTATACAATTCTTTACAAAAACTGTTAGCTCTATCAGGTCACTTTTGAAAACAATATAGTTTCAAGGGCATCTCTAAAAGTGTATTAATTAAACACAAGTCATCTTAGCCCAACCTTTAAATAAATTGCATGTTTATACCTGCACACTTTATTCATTGAACATCTTTATCTTTTTCAGAACAAGCCTTTTAGCAATCAGTGCATTTTTAGATGCGTTTCAGAAAGTTGCAGATTTAGCAACGGGTTCAAGAGGTAAGCTTTGATTTTCTAATGAATTCTACACTACATTTGACTACAATTTTAGCCAATAAAATCACAAGTCTGTGCCCCATCAAGTATAGGTTAGTTGTAATAGTTATTGAGTGTTTTTATACGCCCACATGAAAATGTCGTCATATATTGTCGTCCGTCCGTCAACATTTCTTGTGGGCACAATAGAGACTACAGTTCTTATTTGATTGTAATGAAACTTGGTGTGAGCATTGGGATTAATTAGACAGCGGTCAAGTTTGAATTTGATGATTTTTCGATGGAACAGTTTTTCAGTTATTGCCCTTATTAAAATCATGTCAATATTTGGTTGTGGGCACAATAGAAGCCGCAATTTTCCTTTGATTGTAATGAAATTTGGTGTGAGCATTGGGATTGATGAGATCTTGGTCAAGTTCGAATTTGACGATTTTACGATGAACAGTTTTTGAGTTATTGCCCTTGACCTAGGAAAAAACGCATCAAAATTTGTTTGTGAACACAATAGGGACTACAGTTTTCGACTGATTTTAATGAAACTCGATGTGATGATGTATATACTCATATCAACACTAACGTAATTTTCAATATGGCGGTGCAGGTCAAAAGGTCATAGGGGAATACTTCTGACGTTACCATTATAAACAACATGGCCGCCGTGTTAAGATGTGACAATAAACCGAGCCCCTGTGTACTACAGGCTGTGCATGATATAAAAGATCCTTGACGTTGCTTGTTTTTATTAGCCCAATCAGGTGCAGAAACGCAGGAGGTAAAATTCATTTTGGTATTTGGTGTTAGTTGAGGCAGTATACATTGAATAGAATCAAAAATCACAGAAATTTCAATGAAAAATATCCTATTTTGGCCATAGGCTATTTTAAATAACAATTTTAGAATTTCAAAGAGACAATTTGGCTTTTGTTATTCAAAGGCAATCAGTATTATGGTACAAAATGGTACTGTTGATAAAAATAAAAACATGGTAATGAACACACATTACTACTATTAGCTTACTTTGAAATTATTTTTTCATATGATATTTCAGCAAAAATTCATTACATTTTGGGTTGAAATCGGTGAATCGTGTTAACATACAAAAAAGTTATAATATATAAACTGTCTTAACGATTTATAATTACATAATGTGCGCGATTTAGAGCATTTTTATACGCCCACATGAAATGGGGGGGGCGTATATTGCCGTCACCCCTGTCCGTCCCGTCCACAATTGCTCGTAAACACTGTACAAGGCACAATTCTTGACTGATTTCGATGAAACTTGGTATGGTTGTTTGTAATCACCCAAGGATGAACCCTATTGAAAATCAGAAAAATCGAAAAATATTTAGTATGAGTTATTGCCCTTGTTCTTGAAACGCTTGTAAACACTCTAGAAGGTGCAATTCATGACGGATTTTGATGAAACTTGGTGTGAGTGTTTGTTATCACCCAAAAATGAACACTATTGAAAATCCGAAAAATCGAAAAATATTGAGTATGAGTTATTGCCCTTGTTCTTGAAAACTCGTTTAATTTGTAGCTCGTAAAAACTCTAGAAGACATGATTCTTGCCAGATTTTGACAAAACTTGGTTTTATTATTCAGTACTGCGCTGAAGATTGAATCTTCTAGAGATTTCACTAGCTAAAGATTGAACACGTTTTCGAGAACAAGCCGCGGTGGCTCAGTGAGTTAGACGCTTGCTCGCTAACCTGAAGGTCCAGGTTTCAATCCCGGCATAGGTCGAGATAATACCTTTGGATTTTTCAACCCGGTTTCCCCCTGTCAGTGATGCAGGTACGAGGGGCTGACATGGAAAAATCGTCTAGTCGTTCAGTTGGGATAATAAACCGAGGCCCCGTGTGCTACAGGCTGTGCACGTTAAAGATCCCTCGACAGTTGGAAATCGAAAAAGAGCAGGCTAATGCCGCTGTCCTGGCTAAATTTACCTCATTGCACCCTGCATGGCGTTGCCCGTCTTCATTAGCCCACATGGTGCAGAAAAGTAGGACATAAAACTCCATTCATTTCATTTCATTTCAAGAACAAGGGCTCATAAGTCATACTCAATATTATTCAGTATCGCCCTAAACAGTTCAAAAGAAGTGTATGACTAAAAGTTGAATATTTCATACTGGAGATTGTTACTGTACTGCTAAATATTTTTATTCAAAATCAAAGCTACCAGTGGGCGTATATTACCTTGCCTGGCAAGCTATCTTTTATATTGATGAGATCTTGGTTAAGTTTGAATTTTTAACGATTTCTCTCTTAACAATTTTTTGCCCTACAGTTGTGTGATTTAATAATTTGATGAACCGGTATTTGGGTTATTACAGATTTCGAGTTGAGCTCGAAACTGTATTGTTTTCATTAATTTTTTTAATATTTTTATTTTTTTATGGCTTTCGAGTTGAGCTAGAAAACTGTATTGTTTTCATTAATTTTTTAGATTTAATTAAACAAGATAATTATTATACAATGAGTTAAAACTGTTATGTAACTAGTTAACAAATCAAATGCAGGTGTTAAAAAGTTCATAAACTTAGCTGGGTTGATTAGAAAGTAAAGCAGCTCGGAAGTTGACAGATCTGTGTCCAACAGGTCTAGTTAATATTGATTTTAAATTTTTTTTTGGAATTACTGGAAGTATATATATAATTGAAATCAACCTAATAAAATTTCTTTAATATGAGAAAATTTGTACTTTAGTCACTAAAGACTGTTTTATTATTTCTGACAGCTTCCAGTGGGCGTATGTTACCTTGCCTGGCAAGCTATCTTTCATTGACATCTCAATACTTAGGTTAAAAAACAATCTGTCACTGTCTGGTAATACAATAACCTGATTATCTGATTATCAATAAATTTTTTGTTGTTGGCATTTAGAAATTTTCTTCCTTGAACTTAAAGGTAATAATTGACCAATATTTTATGTAAACATTGTCATTTCTTTTAAAATACCATGTTGAGAAAGAAAGTTTCAAATTTGAACAAAATTACTTCATTTTGAATATTAACTTTTATCTACAAACAGCCTCTGTGAAAGTTACGCTAGCGCTCTGCAACATATCACGATAATTAATGGCCATTTTATTTTTACCGGAACAATGTCATTATTGTCACATAATTCTGGTAATTTAAATATTAGAGGCAGGTTGTTCTCAACTACAAGTGTTTGTAAACATAGTCAATGAAAACAAAACATCTGTAAAAAATGTATTCCAACTGATAATAAAATGTATCATTGGATAACCAATGGTCAAAATATAGCATTAAATGTATACATAAGTGTCAGAATTATCTCCCAAAGTCTCTAAATTCAAGGACACAGGAAGACACAATGAAATTCATCATTCATTACTGAGTCATATTCAGCTTACGGAAACTGCAGAGAATTAACTAGAGAATTTTTTACCCAATTACCTCCCTTAAAATGTGATTGACGGACTCACACCACCAATTAAATTGCTATTTATTTATATGTTTAATCACAATATTCAACCTTCTACAACTTTTTCTAAAAATCTTATAGAAAACTTTTCATTACGTCAAATGAAATCTTGGCCAATATTTATTCTCTTCTCAAAATTCATGAATTTTGATTCTCCCAAATGTACAGCTCTGTAGGAACAAATACTTCATTAAGAAATTGGGATTAGCGATCTAAAGGGTATTTAGGTTCTGATCTGAAATTAGGAATGAAAGATCAAATTTGTTTGATCCCTTTGTTGCTGAAATTAATCGATATGTGCTATTTTGGTTTCTATTTGCTGGACAGATTTGAAACTTAAATGATGACTTATATGTAGACTGTCAGCATGGCAGAATAAGTTAACTTTCAAAATTTTTGCATCAATTCCAGTTTAAAAGTTACTACTGGAAATGGGTCATGTCTAAAATAACATGTACATTATAGTAGCATCATTAATTAGCTTACAAACCTATTAGACTAAAAAAATACGAACCAGAAGTTCTGGCCACCGTTTTGGCTTGCTTTATTTTGCATTGCTGTATCTCAAATTCTAATTAATATAGTAAGCTTACCCTTCCACCGTCAGATTATTAATGCACTTAATAAATGGTGTCAATTAATATCGTTTTTGATGATGTCAAAGTCACATTAAGAAAATGTTGCAATTTGTAAGAAACTTAGAATTCTTCTATCAAAGGAACTCGAATGAAGTTGATATTTGCAGTAACAATTACTATTGAATATAGCTTTTACACGATGTTAATCTTTTTATGTCCGACACATGGTGCCAGTTTTATGGGTGTCACTGAAAGTTGAGTTTGCATCTTTGTAGCATCAAGTCTTTATGTCAAGTTTGCACTTATAAGGATGATCTGGGATGGATTTAAAGGTGTCATGCTATAAATTGAACTTACTGAAGCACCCTGCAACTATGTCTATGGCTTAATTGACCCACTTTCTTATTTCATATCCGAATTTCTTTAAGTTGGTATATATACTTGTACATTTAATTTGTGATTTGCAGGTTAATATCAAATTTGCGTAGTGCGCATGCTCGTTACCAACTTTCTTTTTTCTTCTTGAATTTCATCAAAAGTGGTATGTTTGTGTATGATCAAAGTCTAATTTTATTGGCATATTGAATTTTTGTTGTGTGAATGCGCATTACCTCAATTTTTCTTATTTCTTGTCCAAATTTCATCATACTTGGTATGTTCTGGTCAAATGTTAAATTTGCGTTTTGTGCATGTGCATTATTAACTTTACTTTTTCTTGTCCAAATTCCAATGATTTTTTGGTTAATGTGTACTCAAATACTGAATTTGATAAAAAAATTTGTGACTTGCACATGGGCATTACAAAATTTCTGATTTCTAATCCAAATTTCTTCAATCTATGTATTAGGAAAGACAGTTTCTGATATATTGGAATTTGTTTAGTGCTTATGTACCTTTTTAGTTGTAACGGAACAGGAACAGTTCTAGTGTTTTTTTGTGTCTGGATAATCTAGAATAAAGAATTAGGA